AGAGTCCAGCCTCAGGCTAATCCCATGGGGAGCTCTGGACTATGCACCCTGGAGTTGATCCACCTTGAGGCAGGGCCCTTATGCAAGGTCCCTGTGTCAATCAATCATTGGCTGTGGCTGCCCCAGGGGTGGGTGCAAGCCAAACCTTACAGGTAAATGAATGAATGCAACTGTGAAAGGCATCTGGGTGGAGCAACAGGAGCACTGGCTGCATTGCTCAAACCTTTCTCTGGGTCATGCTTACCCGCTGCCTCAAATGTTGTTACACAGAGTGTGAACGTCACTTCCTCTTCATTTTAAAGTGTTCAAAATAACAATTCTCATAAGCCATGTTGCATCATCACAAGATAAATGTGGGGGCGAGGAGCTTCCACATGATTTTTTTCAATTTCTGTTGTTATTTTTAATTGAAAAATAAGAATTTTATATATTGATGGGGTACTATGTTAATGGGTTGATATATGTATACATGTATAATGACTGTACCAAGTGAATTAACACATTCATTACTTCACATACTTGTACATTTCGTTGTAGTGAGAACATTTAAATGTCATATATATATATTTTTAGATATGGTCTCACTCTGTTGCCCAGGCTGGAGTGCAGTGACATGATCATAGCTCATAGCTCACTACAGCCTTGAACTCCTGGGATCAAGCAGTCCTTTTGCCCCAGTCTCCTGAATAGCTGGGACCACAGGGGCATGCCATGACGCTGGGCTCCTTTATATGTATATATAGATGTTTTGTAGAGATGGGGTCTTGCCATGTTGCTAACTCCAGAGCACAAGCCCTCCTCTCACCCTAGCCTCCCAAAGTGTTGGGATTACAGGCGTGAGCCACTGCACCTGGACAAAATCTATTTTTTAAGATAATTTTCAAATTTTTAACTATTGGCACCTTGCTGGGCAATAGATCTTGAAAACTCATCTCTCCTATTTAACTGAAACTTCATATTCTTTGGTGCATATAATGCTTAATTATTATTATTTCTTGAGATGGAGCCTCACTCTGTCACCCAGGCCGGAGTGTAGTGGTGTGGTCTCAACTCACTGCCTCCTCTGCCTCGCAGGTTCAAGAGGCTCTCCTGCCTCAGCCTCCTGAGTAGCTAGGATTACAGGTACATGCCACCACACCTGGCTAATTTTTGTATTTTTAGTAGAGAAGGGGTTTCACCAAGTTGGCCAGGCTGGTCTTGAACTCCTGACCTCAAGTGATCTGCCCACCTTAGCCTCCCAAGATGCTGGGATTACAGGTGTGAGCCACCTCGCCTAGCTGTAGTGCTTAATTCCTCACAGCCTCAAAGATTATCATGGAAGCCAGCTTGGTAGTCAGGTTGAATTTATTTAAGTGTTGATGTAGATCCCTATAGAGAGGATGCTGTTGATGGCTCACCCAGGTCCCATTTCCTGGTTTATTCCCTGGAACTATTTCCGTGAGAAATAAAATCAAATTTTATTAATGCCAAGAAAGTATTTCTTTGCCCATTGTTCTGCAGGGACTCATCCCCCAGCTGTTGTGAATTAGTTGCTATCACTGTGTCACAGCTGTTTGATATGTCAACCTGAAATCATCAAAAGCATAAGATTCCAGTTTTAAAGAGCTTATTCAAGAGAAAAGCCAGGAATAACCATTCTGGGATGCACAGACTCTAGAGAAACGGAGTCAAGTTCTGAAGTTAAAAGCTAAGTTCTTGCTTATATATAGGAAGACAGAGTGATCCTCCCGCCTTCACCTCCCAAGGTACTGGGATTATCACAAGATGGCACTATAAAATACAGTTCCTTAATCTCACCACAAGATGGCACTATAAGATAAAGATTAAACCCTCTGAGCTAGGCCTGTGAGTAATCTAATCACTTTGTAGATTAAAGAACAAGAAATCAGAGGTAGCTTCAAATGCTGGGCTTCACCTGAGGGTGAAGGGTGGGAGGAGGGAGAGGATCAGGAAGAATAACTAACGAGCACTAGGCTTAATATCTGGGTGATGAAGTACTCTGTACAACAAACCCCTGTGACATGAGGGGGGTGTTTTAAGTTCAGAGGTACACATGCAGGTTTGTTAAAAATAGGTAAAAAACCTATAAATCCTTTTTTAACCATATATAACAAACCTGTATGTGTACCCCTTGACTTAAAATACAAGTTAAAAAAGAAAGAAAACGGTGTTAATCTTGTAAATACATGGACTCCTTTCTTTTTCTTTTCTTTCTTGAGACAGAGTCTCGTCTGTTGCCCAGGCTGGAATGCAATGTCATGATCTCGGCTCACCTCAACCACCACCTCCCAGGTTCAAGGGATTCTTTTGCCTCAGCCTCCCCAGTGGCTGGGACTACAGGCACCCACCACCACACCTGGCTAGTTTTTGTATTTTTAGTAGAGATGGGGTTTCGCCATGTTGACCAGGCTGGTCTGGAACTCCTGGACTCAAGTGTTCCCCTGCCTTGGCCTCCCAAAGTGCTGGGACTACAGGTGTGAGCCACCGTGCCTGGCTCGATTTCTTTGTAAGAACATTTAGCTTAAAAGAGATACATTATACAGCATAAAGGTGTTTTCTTTCTTTGTATCCTTGTTCTACAAGCTTTCTTTCTTTTGTTTTTTTTTTTTTCTCTCTCTTTTTTTTAGACTGAATTTCGTCTTATCACACAGGCTGCAACCTCTGCCTCCAGGTTCAAGTGATTCTCCTACCTCAGCCTCCTGAGTAGCTGCGATTACAGGTGCGTGCCACCACGCCCAGCCAATTTTTGTATCATTAGTAAAGACTGGGTTTCACCGTGTTGGCAAGGCTGGCCTTGAACTCCTAATCTCAGGTGATCCACCCACCTTGGCCTCCCAAAGTCCTGGGATTACAGGCGAAAGCCATCTCGCCCAGCCTTTTCATATTTTAAAAACCTTTTAAAATGACTGGCAGAGATTTGTTTACATCAGCATTACCATAAACGTGAGTAATTCGTTGCATTGCAACATAGTGACAGCTACCACAATGATGGGAAATTTTCAGCTCCATTATAACCTTATGGGATTACAACTGTGTATGTGGTTTGTGGTTGACCAAAATGTTGTTATGCGGTGCATGACTGCACATGTGCCTGATATATAAAGAATACCAGCTGGGCACGATGGCTCAGGCCTGTCATCCCAGCACTTTGGGAGGCCAAGGCAGGTGGATCACGAAGTCAGGAGATGAAGAACATCCTGATCAACATGGTGAAACCTCGTCTTTACTAAAAATACAAAAATTAGCAGGGCATGGTGGCATGTGCCTGTAATCCTAGCTACTCGGGAGGCTGAGGCAGGAGAATTGCTTGAACCAGGGAGTCAGAGGTTGCAGTGAGCCGAGATGGTGCCACTGCACTCCAGCCTGGAGACAGAGCAAGACCCTGTCTCAAAAAAAAAAAAAAAAAAAAAAGAATACTGGGGAACTAGTGACAGTGGTTGTTTCAGGGAAGGAAAATTTAGGAATAGAGTTTAGAGTGAGCCTCCCATTTGAACTTTTCCTATAGGTATTATGTATACTACATAACACATAATTTTAAAAAGTCAGATCTATGTCTTAAACAGATTCACACATCTTATGTTTAGTGAGAAAGGCAAGCTGTAGAAGAAACAAAAATACATTATCGTATTTTTAGAATAAATAAAGTTGACCCTTGAACAACAAAGGTTTAAACTGTGGCTATCCCCTTATAGGCAGAATTTTTCCTACCTCTGTCCTCCCTGGGACAAGACCAACCCCTCCCCTTCCTCAGCCTACTCAGGGTGAAGCTGACGATGAAGACCTTTATTTATGATCTTTATGATCACTTCCACATAAAGAATAAATACATTTTCTCTTCATGATTTTCTTAATAACACTGTCTTTTCTCTGAGGTTAGTTTGTTGTAAGAATATGGCATATAATACATATATATGCAAAGGATGTGTTAACCAACTTTATGTTATTGGTAAGGCTTCTGGTTAACAGTAGTCTGAGTAGGTAAGTTTCTGGGGAGTCAGAAGTGAATTTTCCACTGCACAGGGTGGCGCCCCAACCCCTGTTGCCTAAGGGGTGCCATATATAAAAATACAAAAACATTCTTAATATGGGTATATTTTTGCAGGTGATTGGATTAAGCCCATGGATAAAGGTGGAAGGGGGCTGGAGAGAAAGGAAGAAGAAAGGGGTGAGTTAAATATTGAGCATCCCTAAAGAGCCCTGGGGGAGGTGGGATGTCCCCTCTCCAGCGTCCAAACCCAAGTCCCGTCATCCCTCCCTCCGAGTGCAGGCCCCGCCCCCTCTCTGCTCCTAAGGCACTCACCCCACCCCTACCACCCCCTCTCCAAACCAAGGCCCCGCCCGCTCCGCCTTTGGGGTGCAAGCCCCGCCCATGTACCTTCTGAGTGGCATCGTTTCGAAAAAGAAGACAAAAACAAAAAGGAGCCGGGCGCGGTGGCTCACGCCTGTAATCCCAGCACTTTGGGAGGCCGAGGCGGGTGGATCACGAGGTCAAGAGATGGAGACCATCCTGGTCAACAAAGTGAAACCCGTCTCTACTAAAAATACAAAAATTAGCTGGGCATGGTGGTGCGCGCCTGTAATCCCAGCTACTCAGGAGGCCGAGGCGGGAGAATTGCCTGAACCCAGGAGGCGGAGGTTGCAGTGAGCCGAAATCGCACCATTGCACTCCAGCCTGGGTAACAAGAGCGAAACTCCGTCTCAAAAAAAAAAAACGAGAGTTTAAAATTTTTTTTATTTTTTATGTTTCAGACTTTTACTTCTGCTGTGGACATCAAGTTTTTTACTGTGAGGTGAGGGTATCTTAAGAAAAGCTATTTCTCAGTTATTTCACAAATATTATCAACGATAATAAGACTTATTATTAAAAGCAAGCCACACCCCCACCCTACCCCAGCACAGGCCCGCCCCACTTCTGCCCCTGGGACCTAAGGCCACCCCTATCCCCGTACCTCGGACATAGGCTCCGCCCCCAGCACCACCCTCCCTGCCCGGTGGGACCCCACTCAGAGCCTAACTTCATCCCCCGGGTAAGAATACTAGAATTTCTTCTTGGAGGCTAAATAAAGAAAAGGTTAGTTTTCCTGCTGCCGCCTAAGGCTCCTCTGGCCAGAACAGCGGAGTCATAGCTACTTCCGCTCCCAGCGGCCCCGAGACCAGAAGCGGAAGTGCGCGCGGCGGTGGCTGTCTGCGGCTAAGCTGCGCGGCGCGGCGAGGTGGGAGTGTCTCCGGCTGGTCTGCAGGTGTGGCCTGGCCCCTAGGGAGGGCGGGGAGGGCTCTGCTGGTGCTGGGAGGGGCTGGAGGGCCTAGAACAGCTCTGCGGGTCTGAGGTGCTTCCTCCTGGCGGTCACCCAGGGGCGGCCTGAGGCCCACACTGCCAGGGCCTTGCATCTGAGCGCCCAATCTCCGGTCTCTTGTTGTCAGCTATCTCCCGTCCGGGCAGACAGGGTTGTCGTCTTGCCAAAAGGGAAATCTCAAACAGTCCTGATCCTACAGCTCAGGAATGTGGTGGTACCGGCCCCAGCCCTCACCTGTCCTTCCCAATTTAGGGAAAGTGCATGAAGAGGGCCCTACCTTGCCTATAGTATGCAAGATAACTGCGAGTTAGTAATTCGCTTTTTATATGATATGATACTTAATATTATCTAGCTTTGCAACTGGAAAGGCCACATTTGCAAATTGGTTTAAATGATTGGCCGAATTTACTTAAAAAATTGAATGCATCCTTCATTAAGGAATGAATTAGATGAAGAGAGATTTTTTTTTTTCTGAGACTGACAATTGGAAGTCTTTTAGCTTAATATATTAGCTTTGCTTTGCATCTTTTCCTTTTCCTTTTTTTCTTTCTTCTTTTCTTTCTCATAAGAGAACTTTTGGCTGGGCGTGGTGGCTCACACCTGTAATCCCAGCACTTTGGGAGGCCGAGCAGGGAGGATCATTTGAGGTCAGGAGTTCAAGACCAGCTTGGCCAACATGATGAAACCCTGTCTCTACTAAAAATACAAGAATTAGCCAGGCATAGAGGCGGGCGCCTGTAATCCCAGCTACTTGAGAGGCTGAGGCAGGAGAATCGCTTGGACCCTGGAGGTAGATGTTGCAGTGAGCCAAGATCGCGCTACTGCACTCCAGCCTGGGTGACAGAACAAGATTCCGTCTCAAAACAACAACAACAAAACAAAAAGCAGAGTTAAAATTTTTTTTGTTTTTTCTTTATTTTTTATGTTTGAGACCTTTTAATTTTTGACTTTTACTTCTGCTGTGGGCAGCAGTGAAAAACTTGATACGGTGAGGGTATCTTAAGAAAAGCCATTTCTCAGTTATTTCACAAATATTATTATCAAAGAAAAGTAATACTGTTATTCAGATCTTTTCAAGTTGGCTCCAGGCCTTCCCCCAAGCATATGAATCACAGAGCTTCAAAACGTATGGGACTTCACGGAAAAGATGGTAGAAACTTTGTTAGTACTGGAAATTCAAATTGAGTTGGACATAAGTGGGATGTCTTTTTAAATAATGGGGTAAAAGCTCATGTCTACTGAGAAATGAGGAAAAAATTAACTCCAGAGGAAAATTATGCATCAGATTTCAGTTTTATGAGTGAGGTGTTTGTTTCCAAAAAGAATATATACCCTTGCCTTGCCTTTTTAGAAAGAATTAATATTGTTCCTTAAAGATACCTGAAACTTGTGATTATGGCTTGTGAAAGACAGGCATTTTAAGTTATTCTTATATTTGATTGTTGTGGTGTCATATTCTTTATTTTGAGACAGAGTTTCACTTTTGTTGCCCAGGCAGAGTGCAGTGGTGGGATTTCGGGTCTCTGCAACCTCCACTTTCCAGTTTCAAGTGATTCTCCTGCCTCAGCCTCCCGAGTAGCTGGGATTACAGGTGCCCACCAATACACCTGGCTAATTTTTTAATTTTTATTGAGATGGGGTTTCACAATGTTGGCCGGGCTGGTCTCAAACTCCTTACCTTGTGATCCGCTTGCCTTGGCCTCCCAAAGTGCTGGGATCAGAGGCATGAGTTACTGCGCCTGGACCCCCACCCCCCCTTGTTTTTTTGAGAGAGTCTCTGTCACCCAGGCTGGAGTGCAGTGGCACAATCTTGGCTCACTGTAGCCTCCACCTCCCAAGTTGAAGCAATATTCTTGTAACTCAGCCTCTTGAGTAGCTGGGATTACAGACGCCAACCACTAAACCCAGCTCATTTTTGTATTTTTAGTAGAGACAGTGTTTCACCATGTTGCCAGGCTGGTCTCAAACTCCTGACCTCGGGTGATCCACCTGCCTCGGCCTCCCAAAGTGCTGGGATTACAGATGTGAGCCACCATACCTGGCCTCATATTGTCTTTTGTGTGTGCATGGGGACGTCCCTTCTAAGGCTAGCTCTACTGAGTTATTCTTGAGGAGTGTTGATTGTTTGGCATATTTTCACTGGGGTGCCCTCAATGAATTGGGCCCTGTACATGGGGAAACAGTGCAACTGAAATAGTTACAATGCTTGCCCCATGGAGGTTTTATTCTAGCTAAGAAGATTGTAAATTAGTAGTGCCAAAGTCGATACAAGAACATGGAACACGAGAACTTGGGGAGGGGATCAGGGAACACATCAGAAAAGACACAAATGTTTGAGCCTTCAAGGTGAGTTGTATGTAGCTAAACAAGGAGTCAGGCTGTGGAGTGGGGTAGGAGGAAACTTGAGAGACCGTTCCAGATGCATTGTCCTTCAGGCAGTACAAAGTCTGTTGTGTTCTAGGAGCTGAGAACAGGCAGAGAAACTAAAGCAGAGAAAATAAAGTACTGAGTGGATGAGCCAGGTGAGAGAGGGAGGCAGGTCCCTGAAGATCATGGTGAGCATTGAACTATTGTCTTTTTTTTTGAGACAGAGTCTTGCTCTGTGACCCAGGCTGGAGTGTGGTGGTGGGATCTGGGCTCACTGCAGCCTCCACCTCCCAGGTTCAAGCGACTCTCTTGCCTCAGCCTCCTGAGTAGCTGGGATTACAGATGCCTGCCACCATGCCCAGTTTCACCATATCGGCCAGTTTGGTCTTGAACTCCTGACCTCAAGTGATCCACCTGCCTCGGCCTTCCAAAGTGCTGGGATTACAGGTACGAGCCACCACGCCTGGGCTTCTTTTTCTTTTTTTTGACATGGAGTCCCAGTCTGTCGCCTAGGCTAAAGTGCAGTGGCACGATCTCACCTCATTTACAGTTGAGCTGAGATCTGAGCTCATTTACAATTCAAGCAATTCTCTTGCTTCAGCCTCCCTAGTAGCTGGGATTACAGGCGCCTGCCATCACACTCAGTTAATTTTTCTATTTTTAGTAGAGACGGGGTTTTACCATGTTGGCCAGGCTGGTCTCAAACTTATGACCTCAAGTGATCCACCCACCTCAGCCTCCCAAAGTGTTGGGATTACAGATGTGAGCCACCACTCCTGGGCCTCATTCTAAGGCCATGGGGAAGCCACCGAAGTTTTAGGTAGGGGAGTGACATGATTATGTTCGTGAGGTAAACAAAACACCAACTCCTGGATTGAGCATGGAGTTTAGGATGGACAAGAATGAATGTAGAGTCAATATGGGAGGATGGAGAAGTTCAGGACTTGGATGATGGTAGCTGGGGCTTGATGATTGTGGAACTGGAAAAGTTGGAATGTTTGAGATGCCTGTAGAAGGTAAAATTGAGAGAATTCAGTGATTGATGCATTCTCTTTACCACATAAGCAAGGTCTGCAAACTGTGGCCAGTGGGCCAATCTGGTCTGATGCTGGCTTATATCAATAAAGTTTTATTGGAACACATTTATTCACGTGGCTATTTTTGCCCTATGACCATATGGCCCACAAATCCTAAGATGTTTATTAGCCCTTTCCAGAAAAAGTTTACCAACCCCTAATATGTAAAGTACTTAGTATTCATTATGCACTGTGTTCGTGACTGGATGTGGAGTTCTGAAAAAAGTGGATAGAGGTCTATACTTAAAAAGTTTCTGTGAGGCTGGGCATGGTGGCTCAGGAGTGTCATCCCAGCACTTTGGGAGGCCTAGGCAGGTAGATCACCTGAAGTCAGGAGTTCAAGACCAGTCTGGACAAAATGGTGAAACCCCATCTCTACTAAAAATATAGCTGGGCATGGTGATGCATGCCTGTAATCCCAGCTACTCGGAAGGCGAATCACTTGAACCCAGGGGGCAGAGGCTGCACTGCACTGAGTGAGATCATGCCACTGTACTCCAGCCTAAGCAACAGAGTGGGACTCAAAAAAACAAACAACAAAAAAACCACAAGTTTACATCATAGTTGGTGGAGATAGAGAGACAAAAATCATTTAAGAAATAAATATCAGGCCAGACATAGTGGCTAACTGTAATCCTAGCATACTGGAAGGCCGAGGCAGGTAGATCACCTGAGATTGGGAGTTCGAGACCAGACTGGCCAACATGGCGAAACCTCGTCTCTACTAAAAATACAAAAGTTAGCTGGGCGTGGTGGCCAGATACTTGGGAGAATCGCTTGAACTGGGGAAGCGGAGGTTGCAGTGAGCCAAGATCGTTCCATTGCACTCCAGCCTGGGCAACAAGAGCAGAACTCTGTCTCAAAAAAAAGAAAAAAAAAAAAAGAAATATCAAATTACATCTTCCTACGGGCAGTGGAAGAAAAGTAGAGGATCTTAGAGGTATTTTGAGGGAAGCTAGGAGGAAAAATGATCCTTTGATGACGTGGGAAGAGCCAGTAGAAGTCACCAGGGGCTGTTGTTTCAAAGGTGGTTCAAGGCCCAACATGTTGCTTATGGAGATAAATGTCCTGTAAGGGTTTTTAGTGTGGCCACCCTGCTGGAGATCCCCCAAAATGCTCTGCTTCTGTCCTCACCCTTTCTTTGACCTCAATATCTCTTCTGTTGCAGGGAGGACACCTACTGAGACCTCAAACCCTGGCTCCAGTGCCATGGTGAGGAAGCTGGGGGGCTCCGATGGCTGAAGGGGTGGATAAGTAGGGTAACTGTGTCCTCTGAGCCCTGTCTCCTCTTTTCCCACTTCCCTCCCCAACTGAGGAAGAAAGGGGCGGGGTGGCATGAGGCATATCCTCATCCCTGCCCTAGGGAACCTAGGGATGTCCTTCTGTGTGTGACCTCCAGAGGGTTACCAGCATGGAAGAAGAGTTCCACAGCAGACCCTGGGGCTCTGAGCAGAGCTCTCCAGAGTCAGTCTCCCTGGTGAGATCTGTTGAAAACACACGTGGCCATGTAAATATAAATTAATCTTGAATTAATTAAGATTCAGTACATTTAGCTGGGCATGGTTGTGTGTGCCTGGAATCGCAGCTCCTTGGGAGGCTGAGGTGGGATGATAGCTTGAGCCCAGGAGATTGAGGCTGTATCGAGCTAGGATTGTGACCTTGTACTGCAGCCTGGGCTACAGAGTAAAACCCTGTCTCTAAAAAGAAAATTAAAAAATTAAAGTGCTTGATTTCTCAGTGGCCCAGCTGTAGGGCTCAGGGCCCCACAGGGTTGTGGGGTGAGCCTTATGCTGTGCTGAGGTGCAGGATCTGAGAAATAAAGAGACAGGACATAGAAGTACAAGAAAAACACAGCTGGGCTCGGGGGGCCACGCCACCTGTAAGCAGAGTCAGGCGAGGCCCCGAATGTCCAGAAGCCTGAGTATTTATTGTGTATAGGTTAGGGGGCAGGGCAGTGAGTGAAATCATCTTTAAGGATAGTGATAGGGTGGTGAGCAATAAAACATGGGGTCCACCCCCATTAGGTCACCTAGGCCAGGAGGTGCACAATGCACAGCAAGGGGCCCGTTCCCATGAATGCAAGGGCCGTGTGCAGTAAGGGGTCCACCCCCATTAGGTCACCAAGGCTTGAAGGTGGGCCGTGCGCAGTGAAGAGGGTGCAGTGTGCAATACTTCTATCTATGGGCAAACTACTTCTAAGAAGATTTATAGGAGGATGCTTTAAGTCACATAGCAGTGACAGAGCTGTCAGGGTTACCGCTTCCAGTGGGTTCTATGGGAAGATGCTTTTCAAGCAGCACAGTAGCAAGAGCTGATAAAGTTGACAGTCACCAAGGTGGATTGCCAGTCTGAGGGCAGCCTTCCACAAGAACTGGAGCAAGGTCCTACCACTCCTGTATCAGGAAGAATGACTCTCACCCCAAGCCTGCCATGCAGCAGGTATCTTTACGATACTGAACGCTGCCTCCTGGGCCATGGATTCTTGAACTGTTTTCCCTTAAATCATCCTCTGCACTGTGTCTGCTCTAGACATTCCTCTGATTATAAGCTGCTTATTCCTTAATTCATGCTCTGTACTGTGTCCACTCTAGGCATTCCTCCGATTATGAACTAAGATATAATTATAGGTATATATGTAGGGAGATATTCTTTAGGCATTCATACTATTAACTATTATATGGTTATATATAGAGGATTATATAAAGGGATACTTCAAGCCCTATTTCTATAAACTAATATATGATCATGTAAAGGATTATATAAAAGGAAATAGCTGAGTAGTAACACTATAAATTGAGATATTCCTCAGGCCGTAACTGTGCCTGGGTTCTGCTTAGCTCTCATTCCTTGGTGCCTTTATGGGGGGTTACCCACACCCAGCCATATTTTTCAACATTTTACACGTGCTGGTAACCCCTTTCTGGAAAGCACAGGCATGGAATGTTCCCATCATCACAGAGTGCTGTCTGTTGGACAGTGCTGCTCTAAGGAATTCTGCAATTAAAAGGCCGTAAAGATTGTGGTGACTCATGCCTGTAATCCCAGCACTTTGGGAAGCCAAGGAGGGCAGATCACTTGAGGCCAGGAGTTCAAGACGAGCCTGGCCAACATGGTGAAACCCTGTCTCTACTAAAAATACAAAAAATTAGCCGGTTGTGGCAGCAGGCACCTGCAGTCCCAGCTACCTGGGAGGCTGAGGCAGGAGAATTGCTTGAACCCAAGAAGCGAAGGTTGCAGTGAGCTGAGATCATACCACCGCACTCCAGCCTGGGTGACAGAGCAAGACTCTGTCTTAAAAAAAAAAAGTTATCAGATGCAATAGAAGTCCTACTTTCACAGGTATAAAAGATTATTAAGGACGTAAGTCTTGGGGGATCCAGGGACTTTACAGAAATTAAGCAGTCAAGCCCAAATTTGTGATGTTGTGCCAATTTGTGATAAGGAGTTTAGGAAAAACTCTCTAAGCCAAGAAGGACAGGCCCTGCCATCACAGGTCAGTGGAGTTACAAAGAGAGACAAAATGTATACTTTAGGATTTGTCCAAGTGTTAAAAGAACATAAACATTTCAGCTTGGTGGCCCATGTGATCTGTGTCACAACTACTCAGTTCTGCCATTGTGGTCCATTGTGGCCTAAAAACAGCCACAGCCATAGGTACATTGTAAATAAATGGACGTGACTATCACCAAGAAAACATTATTTACAAAAAGAGGTGGTGGGCTGGATTTTCTGTACCTGCCATGTCTGAACAACCTCTCTTCCCCAGAGATAACCAGTTGCTCTGCTCAGTGGTGGGGGTAGTCTTTGCTCAGCCGGAATATGTGTGCTGTTTTAGGAATCAGTCACCTTTGGGGATGTGGCCGTGGAGTTCATCCAGGAGTGGATGTTGCTGGACAGTGTGCGGAGGAACCTGTGCAGATATGGGATGCTGGACAAGTGCAGGAGCCTGGCCTCCAGGGGTAAGGCTGGCTTCACGTGGCTCCTTCCTGTACGCAGGCACTAAGTGCTTCTTTATTGCCTGCCATGTGAACAAGATGGTTGTGGCTTAGGCTTTGTCACAGGATGACAAAGCTTCATCCATTGCACTCACTTCTTTTTCTCCCTCTGCTCCAAGGGGCTGAGGCTCTCTCACCTCGGAAGCCTGGGGCCAAGTTCAAGGAGACCCAAACAGGGCCTTTCTCAGCCACTTGGAGCAGAGGGGAGGGTGTTTGTGGGTTGGGTCCCGAGTTTGTTAGCTGTTGGGCAAGATCCCTCTGCTCCCCATCACACTTGCTCAGTCTAGGGAATCTGAAGCCCACGTTGAAGCTGAAGGAGAGTTGGAGTTGAATAACAAGAGTTTGTTTTCCCCTGTAAATTCTTCCTCCCTCAGCACCTGTGTCTTTCTTCATGTGCAGAAACTCCACTCTTGTCACCTAGGCTGGAGTACAATGATGCGATCTCGGCTCACTGCAACCTCTGGCTCCTGGGTTTAAGTGATTCTCCTGCCTCAGCCTCTGGAGTAGTTGGGATTACAGGCATGTGCCAGCACGCCTGGCTAATTTTGTATTTTTAGTAGAGACGGGGTTTCTCCATGTTGGCCAGGCTGGTCTCAAACTCCTGACCTCAGGTGATCCATCTGCCTTGACCTCTCAAAGTACTGGGATTACAGGTGTGAGCCACGGCACCTGGCCTTGGAGCGAGGTTTCTCAAGTTCCGTTAGCTTCTCTTCGGTTTTCACTTTCTAGCCCTCCTCTCCTGCTTTCCTTTGGTCTCAGAAAAAGATTTGTTCTAGTTCCTCTTAAAAAAAAAATTAGAGGGCTGGGCCTGGTGGCTCATGCATGTAATCCCAGCACTTTGGGAGGCTGAGGCTGTCAGATCACCTGTCGGGAGTTTGAGACCAGCCTGGCCGACATGGTTAAATCCTGTCTCTACTAAAAATACAAAAGTTAGCCAGGCATGGTAGGGTGCACCTGTAATCCCAGCTACTTGGGGGGCTAAAGCATGAGAATTGCTTGAACCTGGGAGGTGGAGATTGCAGTGAGCCAAGATTGCACTATTGCAGTCCATCCTGAGGGACAGAGAATTTGCCTCCAGAAAAAAACAAAGCAACAACCAAAAAATTAGAGCTATAAGTCACACATCATGAAATTCACCCCTTTAAAGTGTGCAGTTCAGTGGTTCACAACCGTGTGTAACCATCACCACTACCTAATTCCAGAACATTTTAATCACCTCAAATAGAACCCCTGTCCCCATGAGTAGCTACTCCCATTCCTCCCTTCCTCAGCCCCTATCAGCCTCTCATCTGCTTTCTGTCTTTATGGTTTGTCCTATATAGACATTTGTGTAGTGGAAATCATATCATAAGTAGCCTTTGGTATAATTGTTTTGTGTTGCAAGTAAGTTACAGACTGGGTAATTTATAAACAATGGAAGTTTATTTGACTCCTGGTTCTGGGGGCTGGGAAGTCTCTAAGGTTGAGGGACTGTGTCTGGTTAGGGCCTTCTTGCCGTGTCGTAACATGGTGGAAGACATCACGTTGCAAGAGAACGAGAGGGTCAGGCTTGTTTTTACAGTAAGGCCACTCTTGAGATAACTCACCTCCTTCTGAAGTAACCACATGAATCCATCCATGAGGGTGGATCCCTCATGACCTCATCACTTTTTTTTTTTTTTGAGATGGAGTCTCACATTGCCCCTAGACTGGAGTACAAGGGTGTGATCTAAGCTCACTGCAGTCTCTGCCTCCTAGGTTCAAGTGATTCTCCAGCCTCACCCTTCTGAGTAGCTGGGACTACAGGTACACACCACCACGCCCCACTCATTCTTTTGTATTTTAGTAGAGATGGGGTTTTACCATGTTGGCCAAGATGGTCTCGGTCTCCTGGCCTTTTAATCTGTCTGCCTCAGTGACCTCATCACCTTTTAAAGGTCCCAGCTCTCAATAATCTTGTATGGGGAATTGCTTCCAATCCGTGAACTTTGGAGGATGCACTTAAACTATCTGTCTTTCACTTAGCATCATGCTTTCCAGATCCATCCATGTTGTAGCATGAATCAGAACTTCATTCCTTCTTAAGGCTGAATGATACATATTGGATGGATAAGCTACATTTTGATTATTCATTCAGTTGATAGTCGGATTGTTTCTACTTTTTAGCTATTATGAATAATGTTGCTGGGGACATTTGTGCACAATAATCCTTTTTGTTTTTTGGAGATAGGGTCTTGTCCTGTCGCCCAGGCTGGAGTGCAGTGGTGCGATCATAGCTCACTGAAGCCTCAGCCTCTTGGGCTCAAGTGATCCTCCCACCTCAGCCTCTTGAGTAGCTGGGACCACAGGTGCATGCCATCATGTCTGGCTCATTTTTAATTATTTTTATAGAGACCGTTCTTCTTGTGTTTCCCAGGCTGGTCTTGAACTCCTGGTCTCAGGTGATCCTCCCACCTTGGCCTCCCAGAGTGGTAGGATTACAGGCATGCACCACTGTGCCTGGCCTTGTGTACAAGATTTATGTAGACATGTTTTAAATTCTCTTAGGTGTACACTGAAGAGTGGAATTGCTGAGTCTTATGGTAACGCTATGCTTAACTTCTTGAGGAATTATACCACTTTCCAAAACAGGTGCACCATTTTATGTTTCCACCAGTGGCAATGAGGGTTCTGATTCTCTACTTTCTCACCCATACTGTCATCCACTTCTTCTTTAAATGTAGCCTTTCTTTAAATGCAACCTTTAAGTGTAATCTTTTAAAAATGTAACCTTTCTTTAACTATAATCTCTTCTTTAAATGTAACCTTTCTTTGTATGTTCTTTGTGTAGTTCTTTCTTACTCTTTTTTCTAATAACATCTGTTTTCTGAAAATAATATCGGTTCTTATAGAATTCTTAGCTAGGAAATTACCTCTCATTTCCCCCTCAGTCTACCCATAGCCCCATACACAGATGCTGTCTTCCCTTTCAGGATCTTCCCAAGTCTAGGGTCAATATTAAAAGGAAAAGCCGGACTGGGAGAGGTGGCTCACGCCTGCAGTCTTACCACTTTGGGAGGCAAGGTGGGTGGATCACCTCAGGTCACGAGTTCAAGACCAGCCTGGCTAACATGGTGAAACCTGTTTCTGTTAAAAATACAAAAATTAGCTGGGCGTGGTGGTATGCACCTGTAATCCCAGCTACTCGGGAGGCTGAGGCACAAGAATTGATTGAACTTGGGAGGTGGAGGTTGCAGTCAGCGAAGATCTCACCACTGCATTCCAGCATGGGTGACAGAGTGAGACCCTGTCTCAAAAGTAAAATGAAAGGAAAATACCTGTGTGTACACACATACCTGAATATATATTTTCAGTTTTATGCCACTGTTTCTTTTTGAAAAGAATTCACTTAGGATTGGAAATCTCAGCTTGGAGATATATGTATTCAATATTAAAACTTGAATATTTACATTCAGTACTAAAAGAAAAAGCCTATGTGTATATAGCGTGGATACATATTCACATGTGTGAATGTGTATTTTCAATTTAATGTCACTATTTCTTTCTGATATTTCATTTTTCTCTTTATTCATTTCAGCCTGGGAATCTCAACTTAAACCCAAAGAGTTGCCTTCTATGCGGGATATTTTGGAAGAAGCATCCTCCAGGGACATGCAAATGGTAAGATGTCCAGGGTTTTCCCTGGCTCCTAGCACAGGAGAAGTTGCGGGACACGTGAGGTGGAAATACAGGACCAGTGCCAGGGAGATATTAGCAGCATGGCTGTCTCTGGGAAAGGAGACAGTGTCTGAGGGGAGTGCCTGTGACTTCAAGATTTTTCTTTTCTTTTTTTTTGAGACAGTCTTGCTGTGTCACCCAGGTTGGAGTGCAGTGGCATGATCACGGCTTATTGTAGCCTCTGCCCCCTGGGTTCAAGTGATTCTCGTGCTTCAGCCTCTTGAGTACCTGGGACTGCAGATGTGCACCACCAGGCCTCACTAATTTTTGTATTTTTTGGTAGAGACAGGTTTTCACTGTGTTGGCCAGGCTGATCTCAAACTCCTGGCCTTAAATGATCCACCTGCCTCTAGAACCCTTTTTCCCTGGGTTTCCTGAAGGAAACATTTTAGTAAATGTGAGTCAGACATTGAGTGTGTGAAATATGACTTCCTCTTCAGTAACTGTCAGAAAATCACCTCCTGTTAGAGAAGCCCCATTTTGAATAAGACGGAGTCCTGTAGGAGAGCTGGCAACACACTCAACTGGAAGAATTCCAGCTGTCTAAACAAGGCCTGGCTTGAAAATGCTGAGACTGTGTTCCTGGTGGGGAGGACCCCTGGGCACTGGCACAGATATTGGCGAGCTTTCCACCATCACTCACCTCTTTTTTTGTTTTGTAAAAGACAGGGTCTCTGTCTGCCACACAGGCTGGAGTGCAGTGGCATGTTCATGGCTCACTGCAGCCTCAAACTCCTGGGCTCAAGTGATCCTCCTTCTCCAGCCTCCCAAGTCGCTGGGACCACAGGCCTAAGCCACTAGAGTCACCATGCTCAGATACTTTTTTCTCTCTTCCTTCCTTCCTCTCTCTCTTTCTTTCTCTCTCTGTTTTTTTCCTCTCCTCCCCTCCCCTCCCCTCTCCTCCCCTCTTTTCTTTTCTTTCTCCCTTTCTTTTCCTTTTGTCTTTCTGACATTGGGGTCTTGCTATGTTGCTCAGGATGATCTGGAACTTCTGGCCTCATGTGATCCTCTCACCTCAGTCTCCCAAGTAGCTGGGACCACAGGTGTGAGCCAGTGGGCCCAGCCATCATTCACCTTTTGTCAGGAGCAAGCTTCACCTGGAGAAAAGGCACCTGATGAGTTGAAAGGAGGTAGGAACAGTTTCTGGAGGATCTGGAGAGGTGGGGAGAATGAGCCATGAGGGCCAGGTGCCCTCTTCGTTTCTGTGGGCTCTCTCCTTTCAGCACAGGGCTCCAGCACCTTCCACAGAACTCCACAACCAGCCCAGCAAGCCCCTTGTAATGGGTGCTGAGTGGCAGGCATGGGGCTTTTGTTACATCAGAGCCCCAGGAAATAGGCAGTCACAGACTATTCTGAGTGGGCAGAGGGGGTCCACCTATGGAACATGTAGGGAAGCTGAGCAAGTTCATCCCTGAAGACATCCAGCCCTTGAGTAATAGAGGTGGGTTTGGAGCGAGGAGTTGACAGACCTAACCGCAGGGACCACAGTCTCAGCTGCCAGGTTCTACTGCCTGATGATCATACAACCTGCCGCTGGGTTGATGGTGCTGACCCTTCAGACCCTTCAGGTAGTCCTTCCAGGCCATGCCAGGCACCACTGAGCCTTACCACAATCATTGAGGCCCTGTACAGTGGCTCTGAGGCCTCCCTGTCACATAGGGAAAAGTGCTGATGGCCAGGGACAGATTGAGTCCCCATGGCCTCCCTCTCTTTGATCAGCTGGTCCAGCAGAGGGACCAGTGAAGAGAGGGTAGGAAACTGCTCTCAGAAGAGCCCCCAGGAAGTCAGGTGCAGGGGCTCACCCCTGGAATCCCAGCAACTCAAGAGGCCGAGGTGGGAGGACCATGGGAGCCCAGGAGTTTGAAACCAGCCTGGGCAACCTAGCAAGAAGCCGCCTCTACAGAACATACAAAAATTAACTATAGCCAGGTGTGGTGGTGTGCACCTATAGTCCCAGCTACTTGGGAGGCTGAGATGAGAAAATTCCTTGAGCCCAGGAATTCAAGGCTGCAGTGAGCCTTGTGTTCACACCACTGCTCTCTGGCCTTGGTGATAGAGCGGGATTGTAGCTCAAAAAAAGAAAAATAAATGAAAAAACCCCAAGGGAGGCTGAGGAACAGCCTCTCCAGGCTCAGCCCTTCTTCTGTCCCAGGGCCACCCCACAGCTGCCTCTTCTGCAGATGCTCATCTCTTTGAGGCTGCAGTGTTGCTGCTTTCATCCTCTGCTGTGTCCCCAAAGCCTGCACTAGCACTGCCCATGTCTTAGTCTGTTTCACCCTGTTAATAAAGAGATAGCCAAGACTGGGTCATCTCTAAAGGATGGGGGTTTAATTGGCTCACAGTTCAGCATGACTGGAGAAGCCTCGGGAAACTAACAACATGGCGGCAGGGATGCAAACACGTCTCACATGGTGGCAGCAAGGAGAATTATAAACAAAAGGGGGAAAAGCCCTTATAAAATCATCAGATCTCGTGAGAACTCACTCACTATCATGAGAACAGTAGCCTGGGGGAAACTGCCCCATGATTCAGTTACCTCCCACTGGTCCCTCCCACAACATGTGGGGATTATGGGAACTAGGATTCAAGATGAGATTTGGGTGGGGACACAGCCAAACCATATCAGCCTAGTATGTATTTGTTGGACAAATAGGCGGAACACCTAAAAACAGTTTCTTAAGTAGAATGATCTGTGTCAAAATCATTCTGATGCTGACACTTGTCTCAAAACATACCCATGGGATTTTGATTTATGACACAGAGAGGCCAACGTCATTGGAAAATTTTTATTACTTGTATTTCTCGGGAGGCCAGGGCACACCACACCACACAGGGCCACACAAGGAAGCACAGGGTCAGCCTGGAGGCAGAAAGGGGATAGCCCAGGCCAGAGCTTTTCTTGGGGTTTCCACAGGAAAGGTGAGGCTGGGCAGGGTAAACTGTGAGTTTGAATAATTCCAGTGGACCTTGGGGGATAGGTGCTGTCCCTAGCTGATTGAGGGCAGGGGAAATATTGGCTGGGTGAGAGTGAGGTAAGGAGCTGGTACAGCCTGTGGGCTCTGGGTCCCAGGGGAGGTAGAGGCAAAGTTGGCAGGCAGCTTGGCCCTGTGACTGATGGATGCCCTGTGGACAAGGACAGCATTCCTCTTCAGGACCAAGATCTCCCAACCTTTCTTTTTTGTGTTTTTGGGTGACTTAAACAGCAGAAATTAATTTTCTCACCCTTCTGGAGGCTGGAAGCCCAAGATCAAGGTGTCGGCAGGGTTGAGTTCTCCTGAGGCTTCTCTCTTTGGCTGGCAGGTGGCCATCCTCCTGCTGCCTCTTCACATGGCCACCCCTCTGTACCACACCTTCATGTCTCATAGCGTCTCCAGGGGCTCTGTCCTAACCTCAGGTCTGTCTCTGTATCTGCAGTGTGTTCAATCCTCCAGACCCTTGGTGGCAGCTGGTGCCTGCAGTAGGCTGGGGATAGTTACTAGGTCTGAGATCACCAGATGCCAGACCTGTGTACCTTGGCTTTTTTTTTTAGGCACAGTCTTGCTCTGTTGCCTGGGCTGGAGTGCTGTGGTGTGATCTTAGTTCACTGCAACTTCTGCCTCCCAGGTTCAAGTGATTCTTGTGCTTCAGCCTCCCGAGCAACTGGGACTATAGGCATATACCATCACACTTGGCTGACATTTGCAATTTTAGTAGAGATGGGTGTATTAGTCTGATTTCATGTTGCTGATAAAGACATACCTGAGACTGGGCAATTTACAAAAGAGAGAGAGGTTTAATTGGACTTAACAGTTCCACGTGGCCAGGGTAGCCTCACAATCATGGTGGAAGGCAAGGAGGAGTCAGTTACATCTTACAAGGATGGTAACAGGCAAAGAGACCTAATGCAGGAAAACTCTCCCCCTCCCCATAATAACCTTTGGATCTCGTGAGACTTATTCATTATCACAAGAACAATCATGGGAAAGACCTGCCCCCATGATTCAATTATCTCCCACTGGGTCCCTCCCACAACATGTGGGACTTCAAGATGAGATTTTGTTGGGGACACAGCCAAACCATATCAATGGGGTTTTGCTGTGTTGGCCAAGGTGGTTTGGAACTCCTGGCCTCAAGCATTTCTCCCACCTCAGCCTCCCAAAGTGCTGGGATTACAGGCATGAACCACTGCACCTGGCCTCATTTTTCTTGACTTCTGGAAGCCCTAAGCCCCAAACCAAAGGTCTCTCAGGCCTAGAACAGCTATGGTACCACCTCTGTCCTGCTCAGCACCCTCCTGTCTTTTCCCAGGGGCCAGGGCTGTTCCTGAGGATGCAGCTGGTGCCGTCCATGGAAGAGAGGGAGACACCATCAACTCAAGAGGACTGGCCAGCTCTCCAGGAGCCACCTTGGTTTCCGGGATGCATGGTAAGCCCAGGAGAGTTCAACTGTGATGGCACCAGGTGCAGTCAGGAAAGCCTGGGGTGTGGGGTGTCTATAAATTGGAGGAGGGGAGGGAGAGGTGGTAGGTGTCTGGGCCCACATTTGGGACTTGGGAATCTGTAAGAGACCCAGGCTCTGGGCTGGGGGTGTTAGAGTCTGTTTCTGTGTTGAATGTACTTGTCCCCAGGGAGATGGCGGGCTCCAGGGTAGGTCCTGGGGGAGGGTCTGGCTGCTGGACTGTGAGCCCTGCCTTTCCTGGTCCAGCCTTTTTCTTTCATGTCCTTCTACCCCAGCTCTACTGCTTCTGTGACCTTGAAACTGACAGGAACTGGCAAGTCCTATGACATGAGGGCTGGGCAAGGGAGCACCCAGGCTGAGGGAAGTGAGGACCTCTTGGCTCAGGGCCCTGTGTGTCCTCACCAAGGCAGAGAGAGAATGGGAGAGGGATGCTGTAAGGCACTGGTCCCCAACCCCAGGCTGTGGACCAGTACCAGCCCCTCGCCTGTTAGGACCCAGGCTGCAGAGCAGGAGGCGAGCGGCAGGCGAGCATCTGTGTCTGAGCTCCGCCCCCTGTCAGATCAGCAGCAGCACCGAACCCTGTTGTGAACTGCGCATGTGAGGGATTAGGCTGCATGCTCCGTATAAGAATCTAACTAATGCCTGATGATCTGAGGTGGAACAGTTTCATGCCAAAACCAACCCCCTACCCTGGTTTGTGGAAAAATTGTCTTCCATGAAACTGGTTCCTGGTGCCAAAAAGGTTGGGGACTGCTGCTGTAAGGCACATCCTGAGTCCTGCCCTAGGAGAAAAGGCCTCTTCCCACTTGCCCCTGCCCTAGTCCCTTGCCTGAGGGACCTGCTGCGTGTACCTCCCACCTCCCATCCGCCACCAAGTCCTGCTAGCATTATCTCCAAAATGTAAACCACCTCTAGCTGCCCCTCCCATCCCTGCTGCTGCCACCCTGCCCAGAGCCACTATTAGTTCTCCTGGACTCCAGGTTTGCTCCTGACAGGCACCTGGGCCCCACCCTGGACACAGAGGACAGAGGGGTCCCTTAGAACTGCAGGTCAGGTCAGGCACCTTTCCTGAGTGAGCAGCTGCCAGCAGAGAAGAGTACAAATCCTACTCCAAGGATTGATATTCCTCCCAGAGAAATTCACTGCCTGTCCCTCATCACACGGGTCCACTGCCAAGCTCCATTTCCCCTCTATCCCTCAAACTCCTGGTCATCCACTCCCCACTTTTTCCCAGCTTTTCCCTGACTTCTGGAGGCTCCTTGGAGTGTGCCATCTCCCCTAGCCTCTCTCCAGGCCATTTTGGATCACAGTGGTTAGCTGTACTTAAGGATTGGGTAAAACCCAACAAGGTGAATGGGCCTATCTCTTCTTTTATTAATATGTTCCCCAAAGCAGGATCAATCGTGCAGATTGATGTGGGATGAGCAGGTGTGAGTGGACCCCCTCAATCTCATGACTCTTATCTGTGACCTCTGTTACTCTGTCCAGGGACCGAAGGCCGCTGTGCAGATTCAAAGGACGGTGATGCCAGTGCCCACGCTGGGCCACCCTGACCCGTGGGTGGCTGGGAATTCTGGTGAGTGAGTGCCATGTGGAACACATGGCCAGAGGGCCCTGCCGTCCTTGGGTTCTGTTCAGGAACTTGTAGCCCATCCTGTCTGCATTTTGTCTGACTGCAGGCACTGCTGTGGCACCATAGGGAGAGGATACAGAAAGCCTCTCTTCTTATTTGTGTGTTTAAGGGGGAGGACACTTCCAGTGACAGATCTTTCTGTTGAGAAAGAGAGGGCTCACCCATCCGCAGCAAAGGCCAGATGTCTCTTTGGGCAACAGAAAATTATCGACGACACGATAATGTCGATTTTGAAAATTATGATTGAATCTACTAGAAATGGCCTGTGTTTGAACTGTGCTTTTAAAAATGAGGACCAGGCTGGTTGCAGTGGCTCATACCTTTAATCCCAGTGCTTTGCAAAGCCTGGGCAGGAGGATTGCTTGAGGCCTGGAGTTTGAGACCAGCCTGGGTAACTTAGTAAGACCCCTAGTTCTACTAAATAAATAAATAAATAAATAAGCAAGCTGCAGGTGGTACCTCTCAAGTCCCAGCTACTTGAGTGGCTGAAGCAGGAGGATCGCTGGAGTCCAGGAGGGCCAGGCTGATGTGAACTACAATTGCTTTATTGCACTTTCCAGCCTGGGTGACAGAGTGAGTCCCTGTCTCTAAAAAAAAGAGGTTCAAAGCCATTCTCTTGAGAAGTGGGGAAGAAATTAATTCTAGAAGACAAATAACATTTTAGCTTTAATGATAAAGGATTTGTTTTTTTCCAGTTTGCCTTTTAGTAAGAATAATAAACTTTGTTTCTTAAAAATGCCATCCACTCTTGTGTTTGGAATCTGTGTTATCTTCTTGACAGGAAACAATTCTTAGATCTAGGTCATGTGTTGCTCTTCCGTATATTTTTGATAAGCCTTCTGGGCTGGGCTCTATTTTGTTATTTCCTTTTTTTTTTTTTTGAGATGGATCTTGGTCCGTCGCCCGGACTGGAGTGCAGAGGTGTGATCTTGGCTCACTGCAACCTCTGTTTCCCGGGTTCAAGCCATTCTCCTGCCTCAGCCTCCCAAGTAGCTGGGATTACAGGTGTGCACTACCATGCCTGGCTAATTTTTGTATTTTTAGTAGAGACAGGGTTTCACCACGTTGGCCAGGCTGGTCTCGAACTCTTGACCTCAGGTGATCTGCCCACCTTGGCCTCCCAAAGTGCTGGGACCACAGACGTGAGCCACTGCGCCTGGCCTATTTTGTTACTTCTTGAAGCAGGTGTGACTGTTGTCCGGTAGTGAGACGGTGACGAGGAAACAGTCACAAAGAAAACCCTGACCCTTCCTCTGTGGAACTCACAGTCTGGCTTGGGGGTCAGGGTTTGAAATGAAGAACAGAGTCCAATGGAAGTGTGTTATACAAGGACTTCATCTCAGGGGATTGGGGAGAGTTCTGGGAAAGGATAGATATTTAAGCTTAGGCCAGGGTTTCTCAGCTGCAAAACTGCTGAGACTGGCCCATTCACTGTCAGTCATGGGGCATCCTATGCATTGTGGGATGTTGAGTGGCATCCCTGGCCTCAACTCACTAGATGCTAGGAGCACTTTTCCTCTATGTGTTTGCTAGGGTTGCCATATCAAAGTTCCACCAGCTGGGTAGATTAAACAGCAGAAATGCATTGTCTCACAGTTCTGGAGGCCAGAAGCTCGAGATCAAGGTGTTGGCATGGTTGGTTCCTTTTGATGCCCCTCTTTGGCATGTGGATGGCCATCTTCTCTCTCTATCTTCACAGCATCTCCCCTCTGTACATGCCTGTGTCTAGATGTCTTCTTCTTGTGATAGGGTTTGTATTTGTGTCCCCACCTAAATCTCATGTTAACTGGTAATCTCCAGTGTTGGAGGAAGGGCCTGGTGGGAGGTGACTGGATCTCGGTGGTGGATTTCTCCCTTGCTGTTCTCGTGATGGTGAGTAAGGTCTCATGAGATCTGGTTGTTTGAAAGTGTGTAGCACCTCCCCCTTCACTCTCTTGCTCCTTCCCCAGCCATGTAGCACATGTCTGTGTCCCCTTTGCCTTCTGCCATGATTGTAAGTTTCCTGAGGCCTCCCCAGCCATGCTTCCTGCACAGCCTGTGGAACCATGAGCCAATTAATTCTCTTTTCTTTATTCATTTCCCAGTCTCAGGTAGTTCTTTATAGCAGTTCAAGAATGGACTAACAATACATATCCTAAGTACACCCATCATATTGGACTAGGGCCCACCCTACAACATCATTTTAATTTAATTACCTCTAAAGACTCTATGTTCAAATATGGTTACCAGGGGCAAGATAAGATACCAGGGATTAAGGCTTCAACATATGAATTTTTGGGGTAATACAATTCGGCTTGTAACAGCCACATATCCCCTAGTCTTGAAAAGCTAAAATGTCTCCAGATGTTACAGACCGAATTGTGCTCCCTTTCCCCAAAGTTCATGTTGAAGCCCAAATGTCTCCCCCAGAGGTGCCTGTATTGGAGATGGGGCCTCTAGGGTGGTAATAAAGGTTAAGTTAGGTCGTAAGGGTGAAGCCCTGAACCAAGAGAACTCGTGCCCTTACAAGAAGAGGAAGATACACCAGAACTTTCTCTCTCCTCTGTAAGGACACAGCAGGAAGGCAGCCATCTGCAAGCCAGGAAGAGAGCCCTCACCAGGAACCAACCATGCTGGCATCCTGATCTCAAACTTCCAGCATCCAGAACTGTTAGCAGCAAATTTCTGTTACGTCACCTAGGACATGGTATTTTGGAATGACAGCTCAATACCAGACATTGCCAAATGTCTCCTGGGGGACAAGCCCTGACCTAGACCATGATAAGCACGGTCACATTTAGTTTGATCAGGTGTTGGGCTGTTGGGAGGTTTGGAGAGAGGATATCAGGCCCAGGAACAACATTGATAACATTTCCCATGGAGCAAGAACCTGTTGTGTCCAGGGCTAATGGAAGATGGTGTGAAGGGAGCAGGAAGAAGTGGGGAGAGAGTGATGTGAGCTGATTGAGGAAGGAGTAGGTTTCAGATTATTTAGTGCCCAGACCAGCTTGGTCATAGAGACCCCAACCCAGGCGGTGCTGAAGGAAAGAAGAAACAGAAACAAAGAGTGTAAAAGTGGGAAGCAGAGTGGGACGTCAGGGGGCTGACAGCATTTCCCAGCTGACAGTCCAGAGCAGACTCCGACTCATGTATTTATTCTTTGTGAACAAGTGATTATTTTTAATAAGCAGGCGCTCAGTGTTTCTTCATAGAATAAAGAAGAAACCAGACTAGACTAAATAGGCAGCTAGTGCCTGTTCACTACTAAAATAGAAATAAGCTAGAAAGCAGACTTTGTGAGTCAGCAATGGGGACAAGGTCAGATATCCTGTGTTCTGGAAGCTGGTTTAACTAGTGCATGACTGGTACATACTGCTTACTATTCTAGAAGTTTTCTGCCTGGGGATGGCTCGGTGTTCCTTGCCATCACCTTTCAGTAAACAACATATACTCCATCACGCACATGTCAAGACCTTCTCCCAAGTTCAGGGCTTGGTATGCAGGAAAAGAACCCTGGCTTATGTTCTAAGCCCACAGGGAGCCAGTGACGTGTTTAGGTGAGTGCTGCAGTACACTTGTGATTTTATCAGAAACCCACCCCCAGCACCTGGGAGGAGCATGGGCTCAGGGAGGAAAGCAGTGGTAGATGGAGGCCATCAGGAGTAGAATGGTGCTGGTCTAGACTTGGGGCTGAGTGTGGAGGAGGTGTGCTGGGTTCCCCCAAGACCACCCCAGGCTCGATGATCCACTGGGACGACTCATAGGATATGTCATACTCATGACTATGATGTATTACTACAAGTGGATATGAAGCAGAAACAGCAAAGGGGTGCTGGGTGCAGTGGCTCACGCCTGTAATCCCAGCACTGTGGGAGGCTGAGGTGGGTAGATCACAGGTCAGGAGTTCGAGACCAGCCTGGCCAACATGGCAAAACCCCATCTTTACTAAAAATACAAAAATTAGCCGGGCATGGTGGTGCGCACCTGTAATCCCAGCCACTCAGGAGGCTGAGGCAGGAGAATCGCTTGAACCTGGAAAGCAGAGGTTGCAGTGAGCCGAGATGGTGCTGCTGCACTCCAGCCTGGATGACAGAGTTTCTTCTATCAGTTAGGGCAGTGGGAACCTTCTCGAAATCCAGGTTCTCAGACTCTACCCAAGGGTCAGCCTTGCAAACACATCTTGCTAAGGAGACCATCAAGGCTGGCTGTCTTAACTCCTTTCTGCACAGTAGGGAAGTGAGGAATGATTTAAAACACATAGAGGCCAGGTGTGGTGTCTCTTGCCTGTAATCCCAGCACTTTGGGAGTCTGAGGTGGGAGGACTTCTTGAGGCCAGGAGTTTAAGACCAGCCTGGGGCAACATAGCAAATTCTATCTCTACAAAATAAGAAAATTAGCCAGGCATGGTTGTGTACACCTGTGGTCTTGCTACTCAGGAGGCTGAGGAGGGAGAACCACTTGAGCCCAGGAGTTCCAGGCTGCAGTGAAATAGTCCAGCCTGGATGAGAGAGCAAGACCCTGTCTCAAAAAAAATTATAGTAGTAACGCATATGAAACATTTAGAGAAGGTCAAGTTAATTTGGTGTTTCGTGTATTCATTTACAAATGACATGGAGCGTTTTTGTGCCAAGTAGGGTATCAAGGACAGGGCAGTAAAAGAACCCAGGCTTATTCTTACAAAGCTTCCAATCCAGTGAGGATGTCAGAAAATAAACACTCATGGCAGCAGTACAAAGCTGGTTACAGATGGGTAAGGGCTGCAAAGAGGGGAAAGGGTTCTATCAGAGAAAATGAGAGAAGGGGCTCTTTCTACAGGGGAGGAGACCTCAGGACGGGACGCTCTGAGGGGAACATTTCAGTGGATCCAAAAAGAAAAGGCTCGACGTAGGTGTCAGCTGTAGGGGATGGATGGGAGAGGGGCTTGGGGGTGAGTCCTGCCATGTAGCGACCTCATCACTATTTGTTCTGATTAGTTGCTGGGAGCTATAGAGTGTTAGAAAGGGGTAAGTTCTCTAATTAAAGACAGGGAAGCACTTCGTGAGATTGAGGACATGGTTAGGGAGAGCAGGCTTTAGGAGGATGGTGATGAGGTTTTTTTTTTTTTTTTTTAAGACATAGTCTCGCTCTGTTGCCCAGGCTGGAGTGCAGTGGTGCAATCTTGGCTCACTGCAGCCTCCGCTACCTGGGTTCAAGTGATTCTTGTGCTTCAGCCTCCTGGGTGGCTGGGACTACATATGTGTGCCACCACACCCAGCTAATTTTTGTACTTTTTGTAGAGACAGGGTTTTGCCATATTGGCCAGGGTGGTCTCCAACTCCTGACCTCAGGTGATACTCTGGCCTTGGCCTCCCAAAGTGCTGTGATTACAGGTGTGAGCCATTGCACCTGGCCTATTATTTTTTTTTAATAACAGAAATTTCTCTTTCATAGTTTAGGATACTAGAGGTCTGAAATTGAGGTGTTGACAGGACCATGCTCCCTCTGATGGCACTGAGGGGGGTGGTGTGGATCCTGCACCTGCCTTCTGATGGTGGCCTGCAGCCCTGGTTCTCCTTGGCTGTGGGTGCAGCCCTCCTGTCTCTGCCTGTGTTGCCTCATGGCCATCTTCCTTCTGTGTATCTGTCTCTGTCTCTTCTCTTAGGAGAAACATCGTATTGGATTAAGGGCCCTATTGGATTAACCCTACTCTCATGTGATCTCAACTTGTTACATCTGCAACAATCCTGTTTCCAAATAAGATCACATTTTGAAGTACTGGGGGTTAGGACTTCCACTTTTTGGGGGGACACAATTTGAGCCATAGCAATCTGTTCTCTAGTCCCCACAAATTCATGTCCTTCCCAAAATACACTCACTGTGATCCTGATGTCCCCCAAATTTTAATCCATTTCAGCATCAACTCTTAAGTGCAAAATCTCATCTAAACACCATCAAGTCAAATCTCATCTCAACTGATGAGAATCCAACATCTCATCATGTCACTCATCTACATCAGGTAGGAGGGAGACAGAGTGTGGTCTATGGTGGGGCAAAATTCCTCCCCATCTGCGAACCTGTGAAATCAGACAGCAAACAATCTGCTTCCAAAATACAATGATGGGGCAAGCATAGGACAGACATTCCCATTTCAAAAGGAGAAACTGGAAGGGAAAAGGTGGTGTAATGGATCCTGAACAAGTTTAAAACTCATCAGGGCAAATGCTATGAGGTTTTCAGGCCTGGAAAAAAATCCTCTGGTTGGAAACTCTGACCTCTGGACCTAATTTTGGCTACATTCTATTCCTGTTCCCTTAAATGGGCAGAAAGAGTTGAGCCAATGGTTGGATACATGGATCTGGTGTTCAGATGTGAGAGTCCACCTGGAGATTTCGGCTTCATCATGCAGATTTGGGAATTGACACCTATAGAATGGGCGAGGTTGCCAGCCAAGGCAGAGGATTGAGGGAGACGTGAAGAGGAGCGTCTGTAACCTGTGAATGCCAGTAGCATGTTGGAGGAGAAGCTCTTACAGGAAAAAGAGGAGGCTGGGTTGTGATCACTGATCACAGACTGGGTGGGCTACAAGAAGGAGGGATTGGCTGGGTGCAGTACCTTGCAACTGTAATCCTGGCTACTCAGGAGGCTGTGGTGGGAGGAGCACTTGAGGCCAGGAATTCAAGGCTAACCTGGGCAACATAGTGAGACCCCCATCTCTAAAAAAATTTTAAAAATATTAGCTTGGTGTGGTGGTGCACACACGTAGCCTCAGTTACTTGGGAGGCTGAGGTGGGAGGATCACTTGGGCCTAGGAGTTTGAGGCTGCAGTGAGCTGTGATTGCGCCACTGCACTCTAGCGTGGGTGACAGAAAGTCACTGGCTCAAAACACCAGCAGCAGCAGCAGCAGCAACAACAGCAACAAAAACAAACCCAGGAGATAGTAGATGATGAACACACATCAGTGGGATTTCTCACCATGGATTGAGGTCACTGGTGATTCCAGAGCAGTGCCAGCCCTTGGAATGTGGAGCTGGGAGATGAGTGGGAGGGGAGGAGGTGGGCGAAGAGGGTAGATAGCCCACGATAGGGAATGAAGACACAGAACAGTAGCCCAAGGGAAAAGTGGGGTGTTATGGCTTGAATTGTACCCCTTCAAAAAGATATGCTGAGTTCCTAGCCCTGTGGATGTGGCCTTATTGAAAATGAGGGTCTCTGCAGACTAATCCAACATGATTGTGTCTTATGAGAAAAGGAAGGCGCCATGTGCAGGCAGACACATAGGGAGAGGACCGTGTGACGGTAGAGGCAGATGTCGGAGGGATGCATCCCCCAGCCAAGGAGCCCCAAGCATCGACAGCCACCACCAGAAGCCAGGGAGAGGCACTCTTCTCAGAGCCTCAGAGGAGGCCTGACCCTGCTGACACCTTCATTTTGGACTCCTGGTTTCTAAAACTGCCAGAGGATACATTTCTGTGGTTTTAAGACACTCAGTTTGTGATACTTTGTTATGGCAGCTGCAAAAAAACACATTTGGGGTCAGGGATTGGGTGTGGGTCAGGTTTAAAAAGTGAGGGGACATGGATGAAGCTGGAAACCACCATTCTCAGCAAACTGACACAAGAACAGACAACTAAACACTGCATGTTCTCACTCATAAGTGGGGGTTGAACAATGAGAACACATGGATGCAGGGAGGGGAATGTGATACACTGGGGCCTGTTGGCGGGTGGGGTCTAGGGGAGGGATAGCAGGGGGTGAGGGATGGGGGAGGAATAGCATTAGGAGAAATACATACTGTAGATGATGGAGTGATGGATGCAGCAAACCACCATGGCAGGTGTATACCTATGTAACAAACCTGCATGTTCTGCACATGTGCTCCAGAACTCAAAGTATACATTTTAAAAAGTGAAAGGAAAGGTCCATCTGGAGGGAGAGGCAAAGATGGAGGGAGAGGCAAGGATGCAGGAGATGAGGAGTGATCTGAGAGTTGCTTGCTTGTCTGTCATAGGCCAGAGGGAGGATGCCTGGTGCAGAGGGAGGGGTGGTGGTGATTTGAAGGCAGGTGGGAAGGAAGTTTCCTTTTAAGGCAGACTTGCAGGGTGGTTATGGTTTATCTGCCCTCGACTTGTGGTAAGTCCTGGACACCACTAGCCCTGCAGTGTAGGGGGCAGAGGAAGAGGCCAGACAGCCAGGGAGGAAGAGCTGTCCCAAAGCTGAGTCAGGGGACAGTGGAGGGTGCTCTAGGAACTTTGGAGTCTTCTGGTGAATTATTGAGTCTGTGGCTCTTGGGATATGGAATGAAGGGGTGTGTGTGTGTGTGTGTGTGTGTGTGTGTGTGTGAATGTCTCTGTCTCTGTGTGTGCTGTGGTCTGTGTGTATATGTATGTATGCACAAGTGCATGTGGTATGTAACTGTGTGTATGTGTGTGCATGTGATTGTGTGCATGCATGCCTGTGCAAGAACTTGCAGATGTGTCTGCATGTGTGTCTCTGAGTATGTGCATATGCATGTGTATGTGTGTACACATGTGATCACTCACTGCCAGGGTGGGCAGCCTTGGGGCTTGTGAGTGTGCTCAGTAGGCCAGGCACCAACCCTCATGCCTCCTCCCCTCTCCCCTAGCTGTGTCCCCAGGGTGCCCTGCCTGGCTTCAGGAGGACAGAGTAGAGGAAGAAACCATGGCTCCTGGGTTGCCAACCGCCTGTTCACAGGTAGGTAAGAACTTCCTGTTCTAAAAGAACACTGCTGTGTCCAAAGGCTGGACTTGCCCTCTTCCTGTAACCTGCCTGGCTCCTCTCACAGGGTTGGTCTCCATGCCTCCAGGGACTGGACTTCTTGCAGTGGGTGTCAGTGGGGGAGCCCGGCCCACTCTCCCACCACCCCATTCAGACCCTCCCCAGGCTGTTGAGAACCAGGAGGGAAAACAAAGCAAAGATCTGAGCCATTCTCATTTTGTGGTCTCCATGGTCTCACTGAGCAAAGAGTGGAGTCATTTTCTAGATATTTCCCTCTTGCCTGTACCATGCTCAGCTCTGCTGGACCCTGAAGCTAGAAGGGGGACAAATCTGCAAGAGCTTCCTGGCTCATTGTCAATAGATAAGTCCCGTCCTGAAGCTGAGGACTTGCAACATTAGTTTATCACCTCTTGCTGTTCTTGCTTAAGGAGTGACGAGAAGAGAGAGGAGTTCTAGTTCAGAGTCCTGAGCCAAGAGGCAGATTCTGGGGGATCTCAGAACCCCTAGACTGAAAGTCCTCTGCCTCGGGTCTCCCTTCCCCAGGCCTGCCAGCCTGCAGCATCCTCTGGTGTACTGGTAGGGGCGGTCCCTGGCTGAGCTGGGATGGATGTGTGTTTTAGGAACCAGTCACCTTTGCAGATGTGGCTGTAGTGTTCACCCCAGAAGAATGGGTGTTTCTGGACTCTACTCAGAGGAGCCTGTATAGAGATGTGATGCTGGAGAACTACAGGAATCTGGCCTCTGTGGGTAAGGTGGCTTTGTCTTGTCTTTCCTTTTTTTTTGAGTCAGTCTTGCTCGTTGCCCAGGCTGGAGTGGGAGGTGTGACCTTGGCTTACTGCAACCTTCACTTCCTGGGCTCAGGCGATCCTCCCACCCCAGTCTCCCTAGTAGCTGGGACCACAGGTGTGCATCATCACACCTGGCTAATTTTCATGTTTTTTGGTAGAGATGGGGTTTTGCCACATTGCCCAGTCTGGTCTTGAACTTCTTTGGCTCAAGCGACCCACCTGCCTCAGCCTCCCAAGTGCTGGGATTACAGACATGAGCCACTGTGTCCAGCCAAGTCTTTGTCTTTTTATCACATGCTTATGCAGCAACCATTAGCTCCAGGAACTGTGCAAGTCTGGCAAACCTAGAGGTGAAAAACAGATAATTCCCACCCTCATGAGGCTTTCAGTCTACTGGGCTTTGTATGGAATGAAGATCTGTCTGCTGCTCTGTCTCTCTGTGATTAAAAGCTTTTATACTTCTCAAATGTATTCTTGAGCTAGGCCCTTGGTTTTGTAGCCCAGAGAGCCTCAGTGTCCTCTTGGACCCAGTGAGGAAACTTGTGTCTAGTTCCTCAGTGAAAGAGCTTGGCTGTGTCCATCAGAATTTAGGCACATGCATTTTGTCACTCCCATCTCTAGAGCCCCTAAAGACTTAATATCAGTCCTTGTGTCATGTTGTGGCACAGTCCTCCCACAACATGGCATTTTTTTTCTCATAAGCAGGTGATCAACTGTGCAAACCCAATGCCTTGTCTTATTTGGAGCAAAGAGGAGAGCAATGGACCACTGAGAGGGGAGTCATCTCAGACATCTGTCCAGGTGAGCCCAGGCAGATCAGGTGAGCATCATCTCTGGTCAGTAAGGGCAGTGTCCAGTTTGGAAACTGTCAATCAGGGCAACCTATACACACCCTTGACTGAGAAGGCTGCTTGGTTGAGCTCCCTTATTAAATGTCACCTTCTTTCCTTTTTCCCTTTCCTGTTTAATCTCTGAAACTTTACATTAATCTTCTAGAAAGATTTGTCCTACTTTCTCTTCATATTTAATATTTCCATGTGTATATTTTATCCATTTTCTCCCCACTGTACATTGTTGCTAATATTTTTTCTCAACATTAGGTTACAATCTTCATGGAATCCTTTTTTGGAAAATCACCTACGATTTCCATCCCATGTTTCTCTGATTACATAACTTCTCACCTAGCCAAACACCTTACAGTTTTCCTTAACTCTTAGATACATTCCTTGTCTTTGTAATTTCTTCCCATATTTAGGATCAGTATTTGGAAAAAAAAGTCCACATGTGCCTTGCTTACCTTTTAATTCACCTTGATCCCACAGTTTCTTTCCCTGTGCACTTAACATCTTCTTCTCTAATTCATTTCAGAACCTCAACTTCAGCCCCAAGAGGCAATACCTAGCCAAGATACTTTAACGGAGATTCTGTCCATTGGCATGAAAGGGGTAAGACTTACGGGGGATTCCTCTTGGTTCTCTATAGTAGGATGAGTCTGGGGTTGCTATAAGTTAGAAAAGCAGCCCAAGAGCCAAGAGAGATTCAAGGCAAGTAGTGCTTGCCCAGGAGAAAGCAGTTTCTTGGAAGAGAGTCTGTAAATGTCATGAACTGATGGCAAACTAAATGTAGATCATCTTCCTACAGGCAAACATTTTCACAGATATGACACAGATACCAAGTGTTTAAGACTTAATTTGGCCTAAAAGAAATTGGAAAAATTCTGCACCTAAGAAGCCCCATGAAAGTAATGAAAGATAGCACTTTGCAACAGAGTATCCACCCTGTTCCACTTAAGGGAACTCTGGGTAGAAATGGTATGGACTCAGTAAATGGTAAAAGTATCAGATGTAGAACTGTGTTTATCTTACATTCATTTCACATACAGGAGAATATCTGAATCTAATAAGGCCTTTGGTCTTCACATTTTCCTTAATCAACAGGAGCAACCTCAGCCTGGAGAAAAACTCTATAAATATAATGAACTTGAGAAACCTTTTAACAGCATTGAACCACTTTTCCAGTACCAGAGAATTCATGCTGGAGAGGCCTCCTATGAGTGTCAAGAGAGTAGAAATTCCTTCTTTCAGAGTGGTCACTTAATTGTGCCCGAGAAAATCCATAGTGGGGATAAAACCTATGCATGTAACAAATGTGAAAAATCCTTCAGATACAGCTCTGACCTTATCAGGCACGAAAAGACTCATACTGCAGAGAAGTGCTTTGACTGTCAAGAATGTGGGCAAGCCTTCAAATATTCCTCGAATCTTCGGCGACACATGAGAACTCATACTGGAGAGAAGCCATTTGAATGTAGTCAGTGTGGGAAAACCTTCACGAGGAACTTTAACCTGATTTTGCACCAGAGAAACCACACAGGAGAGAAGCCCTATGAGTGTAAAGATTGTGGGAAAGCCTTCAATCAGCCATCATCCCTTAGGAGCCACGTGAGAACTCACACTGGAGAGAAGCCCTTTGAATGCAGCCAGTGTGGGAAAGCCTTCAGGGAACACTCTTCACTGAAGACACATCTGCGAACCCATACCAGAGAGAAACCATATGAGTGCAACCAGTGTGGCAAGCCCTTCCGGACGAGCACTCATCTGAATGTGCACAAGAGGATACACACAGGGGAGAAACTGTATGAGTGCGGGACTTGCGGTCAGGTCTTGAGTCGTCTTTCAACCCTGAAGAGTCACATGCGAACTCACACTGGAGAGAAGCCCTATGTGTGCCAGGAATGTGGGCGAGCCTTCAGTGAGCCCTCATCCCTTAGGAAACATGCAAGGACTCACAGCGGCAAAAAGCCCTATGCATGCCAGGAATGCGGGCGAGCCTTTGGTCAGTCTTCACACCTTATTGTACATGTGAGAACACACAGTGCCGGGAGACCCTATCAATGTAATCAGTGTGAGAAAGCCTTCAGGCACAGCTCCTCACTCACTGTACACAAAAGAACCCACATGGGAAGAGAGAACATCAGGAATGGCAGCCTGCCTTTATCCATGTCTCATCCATACTGTGGGCCCCTTGCTAATTAACTTCCATTTTGTAAAAATGTAAACATATGGGGCTATGACTTTCCATCATAATACTCCTTTAGCTGCATCCCATGTTTCAATACATATTTTCATTTTGGTTTAATTGTAAGTATTGTCTTAACTTCCATTATCATTTATTGTCTGATCTATCTATTATTTGGAATTAGATTTTTCAAAACTAATACATGGATATATTTTCATAGAGGTATAATGACTTATAGTGAAATGCACACATCTTAAGTGTACAGTAGATTAATTTGACAGATGCATACATGCATACAGATGCATGTAACCAACACCCCATTCCTGATACAGAATGTTTCTGTCATTCTGGAAGTTTCCTGCATGTTGTATGATTATTTCTTAGTTGCCGTTTTTTTTTTTTTTGTTGGTTTCTAATTTAATTACATGGTGAGGCGACTATGTGGCTTCTTTGTTATTGAGTCTTAGGTATTTGCTGAGATTTGCTATTAGGTCTGGTGTGGCTTATTCTGCTCGCCATCAGCCAAAATTGTTCCTTCCTCCTTAGAAAGGAACCTGGGTTTTCTGTTCATATTGGTAATGTGCACTATTAAAAAGCTTCCATCTGCCAGCCAGGCACAGTAGCTCACACCTGTAATCCCAGCACTTTGGGAGGTCAAGGTGGGTGGGTCACCTGAGGTCAGGAGTTTGAGACCAAGCCTGGCCAACATGGTGAAACCCTGTCTGTACTAAAAATACAAAAATTAGCTGGGTTAGGTGGCACACACCTGTGATCCCAGCTACTTGGGAGGCTGAGGCAGGAGAATTGCTTGACCCCAGAAGGTAGAGGTTGCAGTGAGCTGAGATCTCACCACTGCACTCTGGCCTGGTCAACAGAGTGAGAACTCTGTCTCAAAAAAAAAGCTTCCATCTCCCAGCCCTTTTTGTGAGCAGGGGCAGGCCATTTCCTCCAGTCCTGGCTAGTATGAATATGAGAAGTCACTGGATGTCACTCTGGGGAAGTTGTACAGGGATGGTTTCATGTAGCCATGTCTCTTCACTTCTTGCCCTTTGGACAAGCAGACCTGATGTCTAGAGCTAGAGGAGCCCTCCTATGACCATAAAGGTAAAAGCCACAGGCTAAGAAGAGTGTGGCTGGAAGTCACAGCCATCTTGATTCCCTAATCTAAAAAATATTTAGAATATATTTAATGGAATTGACGTATTTGTGTGATTGCAGCACCCCTGGACAATTTATTTCTGGATCTCCCACACATGAAAAATATGCACTTCTTACTGGTACAAGATTTTTTTTTTTTTTTGGTGGGGGGTTTATTTCAGCTGAATATAATCCCTAACTGATGCACTTAGTATATGTTAATTTTTATAAATGCTTCATGGGTGGTTGAAGTCAATGTATTATATTCTACAGATGTCTGCTAGATCAAACATATGTGTTTAAAAACCATCTACACATTTATAAATATTGATCTGTAATCTATCATTTTTGAGATAGATATTAAACTCTCCCACCATGATTTTTATGGATTGCTGAAAAATCTTTGTCATTCTGTCAGTTTTTAAATTTATGTACATACATACATATGTTTTGAATCAATGAAATTAAATATAGATACTGACACTTTTTACATTTCCAGCAAATTGTTGCTTTTATTCTCATGATGTGATCATCCTTTTCCCTGGTACTGAACATTCAACCATTCATCATAATAATAGTAAATACTTATTTAGAGTTTACTATTACCAGATAGTAGCCACTGCCTGAAGCTTTGCATCTTTTAATTTAGTCCTCACACTGATACTTTGAGGTATGAACTGTTGTCATCCCCAATTCACATATGAGGGAGCTGAGCCCCAGCAGGTTAAGGTGGTATTTCAAGGTCATCTGGGTGGCATGTGATGGGTCTTGATGCTCTCTACAGCGGCAGACCCAGGGGACTAGTCTCCATTTTTACTTCTTCTCACTTGTTCTTTTTTATAGGTATAACTTACATAAGTTATAAAGTATAGGTATAACTTACATAAATGTTAATAAATTTTAGGGTACACCTTGGTGAATTTTATATCCACCACTGGGTGTAAAATTTTATATCCACCACTGCCCCCATCAAAATATTTTATCATCCCAGAAATTTCTCTTGGGCGCATCTCATCCTCAAAAGTTACCACTATTCTGACTTCTGTCACCATAAATTTGTTTTTCCTGTTGACGGAAATGGAACCCTAAACAGCCTTCTTGTGTCTGTTTTCCTCATTTAACATAGTGTCATTGAGATTTATCTATGTCGCATCATCAGTAGTTTATTCTTTTTAATTGCTGTGTAATAGTCCATTTTCTGAATATACCATAATTTTAAAATTTCATTCTGTTTACAAACATGTGAGTTCTGTCCTTCATGTTCATCCATGTTATCGCAAATGACAGACTCTCCTTCCTCATTAAGGCTGAATAGTATTCCATTGTGTAGATTATGACATTTTCTTTCTTTTTTTTTTTGAGATGGAGTCTCGCTCTGTAACCCAGGCTGGAGTGCAGTGGCACAATCTCAGCTCACTGCAACCTCTGCCCCCAGGATCCCAGTTCAAGCAATTCTCATACTTCAGCCTCCCAAGTAGCTGGGATTACAGGCACAAGTCATCATGCCTAACTAATTTTTGTATTTTTTAGTAGAGACGGGGTTTCACCATGTTGGCCAGTCTGGTCTTGAACTCCTGACCTCGTGATCCACCCGCCTCGGCCTCCCAACATGCTAGGATTACAGGTGTGAGCCACTGTGCCTGGCCTGATATACCACATTTTCTTTATCCACTCATTCACTGATCGACAGTTAGGTTGATTCCATATCTTGGCTATTGTGAATAATGCTGCAGGTTTTGTTGTTATGAATAAAGCTGCTGTGAATATTCTTGTTAAGTCATACTGTGGACATAGGTATCCATTTCTCTTGAGTATAAGTGTAGGAATGGAAGTGCTGGATTTTGGAGGAGGCCATCTTTAGCTTTAGTAGATCTTACCAGACAGTTTTTCAGTGTAGTTGAAACCATTTATACCTCAATTCATACATCAATGCATGAAAGTTTCATTGCTTCACATCCTTGGCAACATGGGATACTGTCACTTAAATTAATCCGAGATACATTACTGGGTATGCAGTAGTTTCTTAGGTTTAATTTGCATATTCTTTTTAAAAAATATTGCGTTTTAGGTTTTGGGGTACATGTGAAGAACATTCAGGATTGTTGCACAGGTACATACATGGCAATGTGGTTTGCTGCCTTCCTCCCCATCATCTATATCTGGCATTTCTCTCCATGTTATCTCTCCTGAACTCCCCATCCCCCACTGTTGCTCTCCTGATTCCCCCCGACAGACCTCAGTGTGTGATGCTCCCCTCTGTGTCCATGTGTTCTTATTGTTCAACACCCGCCTATGGGTGAGAACATGCAGTGTTTGATTTTCTGTTCTTGTGTCAGTTTGCTGAGAATGATGGTTTCCAGGTTCATCCATGTCCCTACAAAGGACATGAACTCATCATTTTTTATTGCTGCATAGTATTCCATGGTGTACATGTGCCACATTTTCCCTGTCCAGTCTATCATTGATGGGCATTTGGGTTGGTTCCAGGTCTTTGCTATTGTAAGCAGTGCTGCAATGAATGTTCGTGTTCATGTGTCCTTATAATAGAATGATTTATAATCCTTTGGATAAATACCCAGTAATCGGATTGCTGGGTCAAGTGGAATTTCTATTTCTAGGTCCTTAAGGAATTGCCACACTGTCTTCCAAAATGGTTGAACTAATTTACACTCCCACCAACAGTGTAAAAGTGTTCCTATTTCTCCACATCCTCTCCAACATCTGTTGTCTCCAGATTTTTTAATGATTGCCATTCTAACTGGCATGAGATGATACCTCAATGTGATTTCAATTTGCATTTCCTCTAATGACCAGTGATGATGAGCATTTTTTTATGTTTATTGGCCTCATATATGTCTTCTTTTGTAACGTGTTCATATCCTTTGCTCACTTTTGAATGGGCTTGTTTTTTTCTTGTAAATCTGTTTTAGTTCTTTGTAGATTCTGGATATTAGCCCTTTGTCAGACAGGTAGATTGCAAAAATTTTTTTCCCATTCTTTTGGTTGCCAATTCACTCTCATGATTGTTTCTTTTGCTTTGCAGAAGCTCTGGAGTTTAATTAAGTCCCATTTGTGTATTTTGGTTTTTGTTGCCAATGCTTTTGGTGTTTTAGTCATGAAGTTCTTGCCTATGCCTATGTCCTGAATGGTTTTGTCTAGATTTTCTTCTAGGGTTTTTATGGTGTTAGGTCTGATGTTTAAGTCTTTAATCCATGTGGAGTTAATTTTAGTATAAGTTGTCAGGAAGTGGTCCAGTTTCTGCTTTCTGCACATGGCTAGCCAGTTTTCCCAACACCATGTATTAAACAGGGAATCCTTTCCCCATTGCTTGTTTTTGTGAGGTTTTTCAAAGATTAGATGGTTGTAAATGTGTGGCATTGCCTCTAAGGCCTCTGTTCTGTTCCATTGGTCTATATCTCTGTTGTGTTTTTTTGTTTGTTTGTTTACCAGTACCATGCTGGTTTGATTACTGTAGCCTTGTAGTATAGTTTGAAGTCAGGTAGTGTGATGCCTCCAGCTTTGTTCTTTTTGCTTAGAATTGGCTTGGCTACGCAGGCCCTCTTTTGGTTCCATATGAAGTTTAAGGTGTTTTTTTCCAGTTCTGTGAAGATGGTCACTGGTAGCTTGATGGAGATAGCGTTGAATCTATAAATTACTTTGGGCAGTATGGCCATTTTTACGATATTGATTTTTCCTAACCATGAGCATGGAATGTTTCTCCTGTTTGTGTGCTCTCTTATTTCGTTGAGCAGTGGTTTGTAGTTCTCCTTGAAGAGGTCCTTTACATTCCTTGTTAGTTGTATTCCTAGGTATTTTATTCTCTTTGTAGCAATTGCGAATGGCAGTTCATTCTTGATTTGGCTCTCTTTAAGTCTGTTATTGGTATATAAGAATGATTGTAATTTCTGCAAATTGATTTTGTATCCTGAGACTTTGCTGAAGTTGCTTATCAGTTTCAGGAGATTCTGGGGTGAGACGATGGGGTCTTCTAAATATATAATCATGTCATCTGCAAATAGAGACAATTTGACTTCCTCCTCTCCTAATCAAAGACCCTTTATTTCTTTTTCTTGCCTGATAGCTCTGGGTAGAACTTCCAATAATATATTGAATAGAAGTGGTGAGAGAGGGCATCCTTGTCTAGTGCCAGATTTCAAAGGGAATGCTTCCAGTTTTTGCCCATTCAATATGATATTGGCTGTTGGTTTGTTGTAAATAGCTTTTATTATTTTGAGATACGTTCTGTCAATATCTACTTTATTGAGAGTTTTTAGCTTAAAGGGCTGTTGAATTTTGTCAAAGGCCTTCTCTGCATCTATTGAGATAATCATGTGGTTTTTGTTTTTGGTTCTGTTTATGTGGTGAATTGCGTTTATAGACTTGTATATGTTGAACCAGCCTTGCATCCCTGGGATGAAGCCTACTTGATCGTGATGGATAAGCTTTTTGATGTGCTGTTGCAATGGGTTTGCCAGTATTTTATTGAAGATTTTTGCATCTATATTCATCATGGATATTGGCCTGAAGTTTTCTTTTCTTGTTGAGTCTCTGCTGGGTTTTGGTATCAGGATGATGTTGGTCTCATCAAATGATTTGGGAAGGATTCCCTCTTTTTGGATTGTTTGGAATAGTTTCAGAACTATTCCAAACTATTCCAAACTATTCAGAAACTACCAGGTCCTCTTTGTATGTCTGGAAGAATTCGGCTGTGAACTCATCTGGATCTGGGCTTTTTTGGTTGGTAGGCTGTTAATTGCTGCCTCAACTTTAGCCCTTGTTACAGGTCTATTCAGGGTTTTGACTTCTTCCTAGTTTAGTCTTGGGAGGATGCAAGTGTCCAGGAATTTATCCATTTCTTCCATATTTATTAGTTTATGTGCATAGAGTTGTTTCTAGTAAGCTCTGATGGTGGTTTGTATTTCTGTGGAATCTGTGGTGATATCCCCTTTATCTTTTTTTATTGCATCTATTTGATTATTCTGTCTTTTTTTTTTTTTATTAATCTGGATAGTGGTCTGTTTTGTTGATCTTTTCAAAAAACCAGCTTCTGGATTTATTATTGATTTTTTTGAAGGGGTGTGTGTGTGTGTGTGTGTGTGTGTGTTTCTATCTCTTTCAGTTCTGCTCTGATCTTAGTTATTTCTTGTCTTCTGCTAGGTTTTGAGTTTTTTTGAACTTGCTCCTCTAATCTTTCAATTTTGATGATAGGGTGTCAATTTTAGATCTTTTCTTGCTTCTCATTTGGGCATTTATTGTTATACATTTCCCTCTAGACACTGCTTTAAATGTGTCCCAGAGATTTTGGTACGTTGTGTCTTCATTCTCATTGGTTTTGAAGAACATCCTTCTTTCTTTTTTTCCTTTTTTTTTTTGAGACGGCGTTTTGCTCTTGTTACCCAGGCTGGAGTGCAATGGCGTGATTTTGGCTCACCACAACCTCCGTCTCCTGGGTTCAGGCAATTCTCCTGTCTCAGCCTCCTGAGTAGCTGGGATTACAG